ACTCTATAAATACTGAAGATAGAATATATAGTTCTTGTGCACTGCACTTCCTCTTATTGTTGCTTGCCCATTGTATGAAGTTGTTTTGAATTCCAACCAGTATGTTTTAAGTTATGCTCCTGACAAGGAAAAGTATCAAAGGGCAGTTACTCTGTATTTTGGCAAAATGGAGTTATGGCTATTGTGCACTGCACTTCCTTTTAATGTCCATGACAACTGTATGAAAATGTATCGAATTCCAAACAGTAGTTTTCAAGTTATGCTCTGGACAAGGAAAAGAAGCAAAGGGCAATAACTCTGTAATAAGTCAAGATGGAGTTATGGTTCTTGTGCACTGCATTTCCTCTTAATGTGCTTGACCATTGTATGAAGTTATATTGAATTCCAACCATTATTCTTCAAGTTATGGTCCGGACAAAAAAGGCAATGGAAAAGAAACAAAGGGAAATAACTCTGTAATTACTTTTGATAGAGTTAAAGTTCTTGTGCACTGCACTTCCCCTTTTTGTGTTTGACAATTGTATGAAGTTGTTTTGAATTCCAACCAGTAGTTTTCAAGTTATGCCCCGGACAAGGAAAAGTAACAAAGATCAATAACTCTGTAATTAGTCATGATAGAGTTATGGTTCTTATGCACTGCACTTCCTCTCAATATGCTTGAACATTGTATATAGTAATATTGAATTCCAACCATTAGTCTTCAAGTTATGGTCCGGACAAAAAAATAAATGGAAAAGTAACAAAGGCCAATAACTATGTAATTACTTTAGATAGAGTTATGGTTCTTGTGCACTGCACTTCCCCTTATTGTGTTTGACAATTGTATGAAGTTGTTTTGAATTCCAACCAGTTGTTTTCAAGTTATGCCCCGGACAAGGAAAAGTAACAAAGGGTAATAACTCTGTAATTAGTCAAGATAGAGTTATGGTTCTTATGCACTGCACTTCCTCTCAATGTGCTTGACCATTGTATGTAGTTATATTGAATTCAAACTATTAGTCTTCAAGTTATGGTCCAGACAAAAAAAGCAATGGAAAAGCAACAAAGGGGCAATAACTCTGTAATTACATTAGATAGAGTTATGGTTCTTGTGCACTGCACTTCCCCTTATTGTGTTTGACAATTGTATGAAGTTGTTTTGAATTTCAACCAGTAGTTTTCAAGTTATGCCCCGGACAAGGAAAAGTAACAAAGGGCAATAACTCTGTAATTAGTCAAGATAGAGTTATGGTTTTTGTGCACTGCACTTCCTCTCAATGTGCTTGACCATTGTATGTAGTTATATTGAATTCAAACTATTAGTCTTCAAGTTATGGTCCGGACAAGGAAAATGCAACGGACGTCTGAACCGACCGACCGACCACCGGGTGGCTCCTATATACCCCCCCCCCCCCCCCCAAAAAAAAAACTTCGTGTTTGGGGGTATATTAAAAGCAGGTCACTATCCAGTTTTTTTGTGACTGATTGACTGACTGACAAACAGACAGACATACAATATACAGCCGAATGAAGTTTAAATAAATTCTGTGCAGCTGATGCCTCACGTCATTTAAATATGTTCTGCTCTCAAGTAACAGTTAATACTACAGATAAACCATACATTGTATCACAAATTGGAAATTAGTGTGCATAATGTAGGGAATTCCTGGAAAAGTTGTATCGGGCTACTGTTCTTGGAAGATAATTTTGACGACTCGGTAGTAAGTAAAGTATTATTTAAATGGTATACTATGAAAAACAAAATGTACAAGAAAGGATGGAAATCGATGTTCACATCCCCTTCCTCCAACATCCCAAAAGTCTGCGTTATTTGCAGAGATCGGAAATATACACTCTTATATACAGTTCAGTTCTAATAAGAATGTAGCTGACGTTGTTAACCAACGTCACTGTAATTTTTAGTGATTTGCCATCGAAGGTTCGAACATTGCACTCTGACCTGTTTTATTATAATGCAGTTGTTCTGATTAAATATAATTTATTTTTATTATCATTTTATTTAGCATTTTAAAAAACAAAGAATTTGAAACATAATGGCTTTTATTAATGTTACTAATTTGAATATATGGATCAATATAACACATTTTATTTCATTATATATTTACATTTCTAAAATAGGGTCAGTTTAGTATCGTTTTCTTTAAATGTTTGACAATTTTTCTCAAATCTTACATATGTGCATATTAACTCATGCACAAAAGAATTATATCTTATGGATTTGTTACTATTAATAGACGACCGGTCAAATGAGAAAAAAAGACATAAAATACTCAAATGTTATAAAACCTAGCAATGATTCGAACATGTAAATGTATGAATGCAACAGTGACTCGGACGCTCTGTCTACTGCGCGTTCAATGCACAAGGCACCAAGACGACATTCGCTGGGTTTTATTTTTAGGAATCGGCATGCCTCACCTTTTTTGGCATTGTTATTAGTCTTTGTTATGTAAATTATCATGCTATGATAGAAGTGCACAAAATCAAATTTGTACTTGTCCACAAAATTAAAATTGTTCTCACATTTTACAGTAACATCATCAATAAAAACTGTCTTCAAAAATGTGTCTGCTAAAAACTCATTTACAAAGATGCGTGTTCGTTTATTGCTTTCTATAGCAAATGTCTATTTGAAATAATCGAAATGATTGAAAGATTAAAACATGTTATTTGTTTACTAAAGAAGATTTGATAGATTCAAGTAAATGAGAAAGGAAAAAAAGAGAAAGTGTGCACCCCGCTGGGGTTTGGACAAAGTTACATTTGCAGTAAATCTGTCAATTGAGATACTGTTCAAGTTGGAGGTAATGCCTAAGCAATATTAAAATCGTTTATAAAACCCCAACATACAAGATATGCAAATAACCCTGATGATTAAAGTCTTTACAATTAGTGTCTTCATCTTGAGTCCTCGCTATTGTTATAAACTGTCATCGTTTTGCTTCTGTTTTGTAATGATACTGTACTCATGAGAAACATTGTGCAACATATGACAAATAATATATTAAAGCATTTTTCTCACGATTGCATAATGTTTTATCTGCAAAAGGTCAGGTTATGTATTAGCAGAACAATGCATGTTCATTGAAATACAACTTATATAAATACAACAATCATTTAAAAACAAGAAGTATCTTCAAAATATCCTCGGCCGAAGTCAAACTTGTTAACTTGCATAGAATAAGCTACCACTTACCATGCTAACCGCAAACAGAACATTTTATTCGTCCTCACTGGTTTTATTTTAGTTAATTTTTTACCCGCAATTCTTTTCCCCATTAATTGCCATCTTAGATTTAAACAACATTACTTACATTATTTGATTTAATCAAAATGGAATTTGATTTGAAAAGGAATTTATAATAAAACATTTAGAAGATACTGTACATTAATTCCACGGTGATTGCAACTGTAAATAAGTCGAAAGCTCGTTTCAATCGTCTAATGCCCGGTTCGAGAAGAGAATATTATGACTAGAACAGCTAAGAAGAGAAACCAAAATCGAACGCAAAAGTATTAAAAAGGCGATCTGTCATATCTTATTTCATATATTTATTGAAAAGCTGTAAAAAACATCTAGAAAATATCATTATTGTGCTTTTATATTTATTCTGACTTATATCTTCTCCCAACACTTCTGGCCATCGAGCAAGCGAATAGTTTGAAAGAACTCTACCTATAACGGAAGCTCTTCTAAAGTATAAATCGAACAGGTTATTAGTGTAAAAATGACCAAAGAAAATTCTGCCTATATTCATTTCTTTACTGTTAATTTTAGCGGAAGTCAAGGTGAAATCAGACGGCCTTCGGCCGAAAAAAACACAACATTAAAAATATACCTTGTGTCTTGAATGTCAGGTTAAGCGTCATTGAATTCCCTTCAGAGTTCACAGCAAACAGTTCAGCGACGTAAAATGAATCCATTTCCAAGTCGATGAGGCTGTATCGCATTGGCTTTTCATCGGTATCAGGTACAATGACTTTCGTCCAATTTTCTCCAAAGTCAAGTTTGTATTTCAAAACAAACATCTGTGCAGGACCACCATTAAATCCAGGTTGCCACTGAAGTATTGTTGACGTTTCTGTAAGATACTTTGGTAAATGTTTGAACATTGTTGGCGCACCAGGCTTCTCTAGAAAATATATATGTAATTCAAATGATTTAAATGCCGCTGAAAAAAGTTACTTTATCGCTTTGGTAAGTTACAGGCCAAGCGGCATGCCAAGGAGATAAAAATAATAATGTAAACCTTTCTATAACATATAAATGGTACTGTAATAAATAAAGTGTATAGATACTTCGTTGTTGCATATCGAAGAAAGTCAATATGTGATTGAATATACTTGAAAATAATCGCATTGGATGGTTGTTTTTTCCAATAATATATTAAGTAAATAGATATTTGTACACATATCATTTAGTAATATATATCAAGATGATCTACATAATAATTTTACTAGTTATTTATGTCACATCTGTTCTGTGTCATTTCTTTCTTGAAAACCTGACGTGTAAGGTTCGAACATTTTGTTTTTTCCATTTGCCAGGGGGTTATATAAGACCATATGAGCAGTTCCAAAAATTGTCTGCCCTCTCAATTTAAAACAAAACAATGAAAAACACATAATAGCTAGATAGCCAAACAAATGTTCTACTTCAACACTTTATAAAGTAATTTTGCTTGCTTCTCAAAAGATGTGATATTTTATTTGACCACATTAATACAAGTTGATTACGTTTGAAATATGTGTTTTCATTTGACAGATGCATGAAGTATAAGGTAGTTGTTTAGACGTGTGCTTTTTAAATGCCGTATTGCTTTTCTCAATTCAAGTCAAGTACCTTTTTTAAATACCTTTTTATCATAAGGTGTTTGTACTACATTGAATAACACAGAGGTTGATAATGCCGTGCTACCTTGTCTTTAAACTATAATTTATCATGCCAAAGTACACACATTTCACTTTTGAAAATTTTTATCAGTCAAATATTTCAAAGAACCCCCAAAAAATAATAATAAAAAAACATAAATAAATAAATGAATAAAATAAAAGTAATCAACAAGCAAATTTAAAATTTCCTCAGGCGAATATATGACTAATTTCTTCCTGAAACTCATACGCTTCAAGTCCAGGTATTAGATTTAGTCATTATAATAAAAAAACTAAATATTTTTCAATGACCTGTGATTCACATGACATGGTCTATAAAGAGTTGGTTTAAACTATTTACTTATGCTTTATAAAAGGATACTGTATTTAGTTTATAATTTAGATTTAGATGTGAATGCTTTATCCTCTTATTTATTCCGGAAGATTTTTTTACAATTACCATTTGGGTTTAGAAAATACAGCTGTTCTAAAATTCCAACTGCATTAAATATCCTCAGTTTGTATTGTCCGAAATCGTCTTCTGTGGTAACGGTTACAGTGAGACTGGAATAACGTCCAAGCGTTTTGATTTCGTATTTCACGTAACTACTAATTGTCTTCCACGACGAGTTGCTTAATTTATACCATTCGAATTCCGGTTCAGGATAGGCAATAGCTGTAAATGCTAAAGTTACTGCTACATTCTTTGCACTTGTCATGTTTGTTTTCAGATCAAACCCGGGTGAAAGGATTGGTGTGCCTAAAATATTATAAAGTTACGTTTTTAATCTAAAAACTTACAAAAATGACATATATGTAACGAAACCTGATTTCTGTTATGTAATCTTCATCATTTATTATACACATAATTATATTCAGTTCATGAGGGATATGATTTTGTTTCCAAAACGATTTTGTTTGTCCAAATATGAAAAAAAAGTTTGATATGACCTGTCGAAAATTTAAACATGGCTAAAAGTAAAGCCCAGTGTTGTTATACGGCATATGCATATTGCAAAATCTTACCTATTTATGATGATTAGATGAAAAGCGTCCTTTTAACGGGCGCATTACAAGTGACCTTAATTGATGGAAAATCGTAAAGATAAAACGTAACTTACATCTAACACGTAGCATCACATTTTTTAAAGATGGTTTTATATTGTATTTGTTGTGTGCTGCACATTGATAAACACCGCCATCAAAACAAGAGTTTACTCTATGAGTATAACTTAAGCTCTTTGTAGATTTATTGCGCACCAGTTCTCTTTGTTTAAATGATATTACTATAGATGACACTGGATTACTGTCAACACTGCATGTAAAGAGGACAGTTTCGTTTGCAGTTACTTCGAAATGTGTTCTCCTTTTATCAACACCAGTAACACTGAACTGTAATATTTGACTTCTATCTGCATAATAATAGAGTTTCAAAATTTATTTCATAATTGATGTTATAAAGTAAGATTATAAAAGGTCAAAGCTTGATTTCCCATACGAATATTGAATATCAATACATGTGAGTACAAAGCCGTTGAAAATAAGCATGTGTTTATCAGAAATAAGTAACAGAAATGGAATTTAACGAAGCAAGTGAACGCATTTACAATTGGAGAAATAAAAACAATCAATTTACATCCAACATCTATGTCCAGAATTGATGTCGATCGTGTCTTAAATTTGTCATTTTTGGAAAACCTTCGAATTACGTTTTCTGCAATACATTCATACGAACCAGTTTTCCCCTTTGTTATATTTGTAAATGTTAAATTTTGAGATTTTGCATGATTTTCAATGTTCCATGTGCATGTTGGAGGAGGATCACCATCGGATCTACATATAATAATAAAACTGCTTCCTTCCTTAACGAAAAGTCTATTATGTTGTAATTCACCATCACTTGCAATTTTTTTTTGATCGAAAAATGGTTCACTTGGAGGATCTGAAATTAATTTGATCGTTTTTTAAATAGAAGATACAATACTTCAAGAAATTGAAACTATGAAAACTGTAGCCATAACATCGATTTAAATAAAATGAAAATTGAAATATATAAACTGTTGCATGAGAAATATTCAAGTTTTCTTTTATTATTTAAATTCCGGTTTTATATAAACAATTGAGATACACAATCGCAGGAATTTGAGTCACCACTTGGGTTCCGATGTGAAAGCTATGACCTAGTTTTATTCAGTATGGGATGAGCGTTTAATAATGAATTACTTTTTATTATAAACAGAACAAATTTGTATTCATTCGTAAAAAATAGAACGATAAAATTATGAAAGTATACTTTTATGTATGAAAACATTGAAATTATTGCATCAGGGCAGAATTAAATGTTGACTAAATGAATTCAAATTTAAACAAACTTATATGGTATTTCAATTTCAATTTATAAAACTTTCAACACGAGAGCTATTAGTTTTAACAGCCTTTAAACTTATTCTCTCAGTCCAGCTACTTGTATTATAGGAATGTACATTGATGATAAAAAAATGGTCGCAGAAGAATATCTATATGCTCGAAGAATTATGTCTGTAAACTGAAACAGTTTTCTGAAAAGTGCAAACTGGTAACAGAATCATGTATTTAGTGAATTATTTTTACTGATTGACTTTATATTGCAAACATCAGGAACATCAAGGTTCTGCTCTTCATATTTGACAACCTTAATTCTTAGCAACATGTTTATTTGGTAAATACTTGCACCTATTTGCACTTACATTGGACATGAAGTGTGACTTCATTTCTTGTTATATTTGATACTTCGTTTGCGGATTCACAAATTATACGAGTATCATTGTCCTTTCGTCGTGGTTTTAAATCAATACTGCTTTGTGCCAATAGCATACCATTTTTTAGTTTAGTTACTCTATACTTAGCAATGTGCGTAAGATCTGTTCTTATCTCTTTCTTAGATACTTTAGTCCAAGTAATGTTTGCAGCAGGTCGTCCTTCAGATGTCTCACAGGTTAACGTTGTTTTCACATTTTCTACTGTCTCTATGATATTGTCGGAACTGTTCTCAATTTTCACGTATTTGATGGGAACTGAAAAACAATTTCTAAACTCACCGTAGACTGCTTATACAAGGGATTATACAGAAATACCCGGAATTATGCCACATAACATGCACATCTAAGCAAACATGGTTAAGCGCATACTTCGCAGCCTTATCGATGTCGAACTGTAATAAACAGTGACGTCAAAAACATACTTAACTGTTTACAAATTTACGGGTAATTCTGGATCATCCCTTGTATATCATTTCGTATTGTATTTATCTGTTACGTTTTTTGTACAGTAACTATAGGTATATTTCAATGCAGATAACATGTATCGTCTTTCATGCACCCTTCTGAAAATAGGGCAGTATTATAGGAAAGCTCCTGGCGGTTTTGCGGGCTGGCGGGCGTCGTCTAACTTTGTCCGGAGCATATATCCTACACACATGGAGATTTTTCATTTAAACTACATAAAAATGTCGGTGTGCTCAATTTAATTGTAGTCAAGGTCAAACATAGCGTTCAAAGATCAGATAGAAAATATGAAAATGTGGATATGGACCATTTAATCATCATTTATTGTGGGGTTGTAGTACAAATAGTCATTATCATGGCTACCGCCATGGCACTTGCATTTTAGGTTAATTTATACATGATCAAGGTCACTACAGATGATAAAATATCTTGAGCATAACTCCTACATGCATAGAGGATTTTTTAAGATACTTTAAAGAAATGTTTACAACTATTAAATGTATTGCTTCATACATAATCCAGTTCAAAGGTAAATGTCACACTTAGACTTTATTGCTATGCACATCTATAATGCCCACATGTCCATCAAACGTTTTTATAGCAGGCGTGTTATGCGACAATGATGCTGTGTTCTACTTTGAAAAATGAATCAAGGACGGAAACATAAATTCTTACCTTGAACATTAATACATGCAGTGTTACTCTTATGATTCTTCTCATCAAAACAATACCATCCTTGGCCATGATAACGAACAGCTAACCGTTTGATTTTTACTTTAAAAGTGCCATTTCTATAACATCGTATTTCAATATTTGGATCGTCAGCAAGAAACCCTTCTGTTGCACATGTCCCATTTTGCGAAAACCTCATGTATGAAAACTTGTTTTCATACTTCACTCTACCCCATTTTGAATAATTTGTACTTTGATGAGCAGAACATGTCAATACCAAAGTGCTGTTTTCCATTTTATCACTGAAACGTGGTGACAGGATTGGGTTTTCTGTTGACAGACCTGTAATGACAATATGAATGTATTTGCACTTTACATACTTTAATATTTACATTGAAACCTTTTATAATACATGTATTTCATTCAATGCGTTTTGAAGACTTCCACACGTTTGCAATCATTATTGGCTCCAAAACGTTATATTTGTTCAGTACCTTTGGGTGATAAATCACAATTTTGTTAAGATATGAAACTTACAAAATGTTACTAAGCCAAGTAGAAACGCTCGCCAAAACATGTTCCAAGCAACCTAAAATAATGAAAAACGTAAAGTATTAGTAAACAAAATCTCTTAAAGTTGTTTTTAATATTATACATGTGTTTGTATAAAATGATCTCATAATGAGTGATTAACAAGTTTTACGCAAAACCGTTTCAACAATTTCTAAAATACCGACGAATTCTACAAAGCATGTGGAAAGTAATAACCCTTGCAAAAGTACATTCCAACAGACATTTCAAAGATGAAATGTACATCCCACAAATAAAAATGCAAAAAAATATTGTATCGAGCTTACCACAGTTCTAAATATTTTTAAAGCTCTAGATGTAAACGTTTATAGTTTCGTATTCGTGTCTATGTCCACAGTATTTCAAACATAGTTTAACATAATTAAATTGCCTTGTATGATAATGTGATACTTTCGAAACATGCGTATTTGGTGTATCATAAACGTTTTTTTTCAATATTGCATTGTTTTACCATTATTCTATATAAAATCATATGTGTGCATATTGTTTAAAAAAAAACAAATAAAAATAAAAACCTACTTCCTTAACACTAATAGTATATCTGTTTTTAAAATTGTTATTTATTTCCAACACTTATCGATGAGGTACATCTAAATACCGAAACTTATTCAATTTTAATAGAAACTCATTCCTGTACTTTCTCTAGAGGTAAAAGTAGTCAGTAAAAAAACGGCAGGAACAGGCAACCCATGTGAACAATTTGTGCGAAATTCTACGAAAGACGAGTGGGTACAAAATATTACGAAATACGATTGGGTATGGATTACTATGAAAGAGAATTGGCGACATTTCTGTTTTAAGAATTCCTGATTTCATCTCCGTGAATTCACAATTTTAACTTTGTGAACTCACGTTTTCAACATACAGAGTTTACGAATTCAAGATTTAAACTTTGTAATAAACGAGTTCATCTTCCCGAACTAACAATGTAAACTTTTTGTTCACGATTTTAATTTCATGAATTCAACTTCGTAAATTATCGTTTTGAACGTCACGATTTAAGCTTTACACATTCACGATTTTTATTTTACAAAATGACGATTTCATCGCAACCTCGTGAATTCACGATTACAGCCTTACGTTATCACCTTCATGGAATAACGATTTGAACTCGACATTTTAAACTCTACGATTTCAACTTCGTGAAGGCACGTAATCAACTTTCAAATTTCGTGAAGTTGAAGTAGTGAAGTTCAAAAATAATTCTTGAAGTCGAGTTCATGAAGTTGGAATCGTGAATTCGTTAAATCAAAATCGTGAATTCGTGAAGTTGAAATTGTGAGTTTGTGAAATTCATATACATGTAGCAAAGTTGAAATCGTGATTTCGCAAAGTTGAATCGGTGAAGTTTACATCGTGAATTCATGATGTTATTATCGTTAACTCGTGAATTCACGATTTCAAAATTGTGAACTTACAAAGTTAAAATATCCTCACCGGTCTTTCGTAATATTGACATTAATTTCTTCAGTAAGCTGATTAATTGAACTTTGCACTTTCCGTTCAACAATAGATTATTATATTATAAAATTTCCTTTTACACTATATTCATGAAAATGACACATCTTACATCGGAATGTCAATGATTTTCATACTGCAATGACTAAGAGATTGATGATTAGTAATTAAAATTGTTGTATTCAACAATGATGTGTTGTAATTTTCAAAACAAAGAAAAAATAATAAAATGAATAAAAATACAAAAAGTTGCTAACATTTTTCACAAATCAACAAGCATTAGTTAAATTATGTTATAAGACATTTTTATATGCTAAATTAATCTTATTTTTCTTATTTTGTTAGTTTTCAGCTAAACATATTGTAGTCAAATCAATATCGACAGAAACTATTAGTTGCAACAGGCTCATTGTTAAACATTAAATGATACTACTAGTTCAACAAACAGCTGCCAATAGCTGTTGTTACAAACGATTGCTATATTGACCTGCTGAACACCTTTTCTTTCTCTAAAAAACGCGATGTAAAAATTTCCCAACCAGCCAAGGTGCATGATTAAATTGATACAGCTGGTAGTAAATATTTTTGTTATTAAAAGCATATCATCTAGTATTACCAGATGACTATTTTGATAAATTCATCTTTCAGCAGTTAAAATACTCCACAATGAAACAAAACTATTATGACAATTACAAGTGCACTGTTACAAATGAAAACAAACAAATATTCACAAGTTTTTTTACCATACATATAATTATAGAATAAATGTGAAAATATTACATCTAGTGTACATAAGCTGAAACAATATCTTAATTTACTGTCTGAAAGGTAAATTATGCTCAAAAAGATATAAGAAAGTATTGAAAATTACTACACAGTCGCTTTGTTAATATAAAATGAACATGTTTAGACTTCACACGAAGTGAATATGTTATGTTTTAAATATTACACGTTATAGGCGGTCACAATATAAATATAGAGTGTCATTAAAAAAACTGGCAAGTTGTTTAAAAGACCAGATTAACTTGACCTGTAAGAGGGAATGCAGCTTCCCATACACAGTTTGTGCAGTCTTTTATTCAAATTAGACATATACAGTAAGATTTCCATATATTTTAATAGTTTATCTTTCAAATAACTCTTTTTTATCATTTAAGACGTAAATGGTTGAAAGAAGAAGTAAAAAAAACCCTGACACGTTATACTTTTATTCTAGGTATTGCCTAATAATTGTGAATAAGTCGGTGCAAAGCTCTTTTCTCAATTGAAATTGAACCTCCGTAACGGAAGAGCATTAGTGCCAGGTGTATGTTTTTTATTAACTCGAAATTTCGAGTTACTAACTCGAAATTTCGACTTACTAACTCGAAATTTCGACTTACTAACTCGAAATTTCGAGTTACTAACTCGAAATTTCGAGTTACTAACTCGAAATTTCGACTTAGTAACCCGAAATTTCGACTAAGTAACCCGAAATTTCAACTTAGTAACTCGAAATTTCGACTTAGTAACTCGAAATTTCGACTTAGTAACTCGAAATTTCGACTTATATTGCACGACTTGCATTGGTTGTCGGTGAAAGCAAGGATTGAATTCAAGATACTTTCTTTCGTGTGTAGCTGTTGCACATTAACAGAGCACCTTTAACATTTATCTAACTGAACAATTTAATAGGGTCAAATTGTCCACACATACTGAACATATCCTTCGCTTTTTAGCTCACCTGTCACAAAGTGACAGGGTGAGCTTTTGTGATCGCTTTTCGTCCGGCGTCCGTCCGTCGTCCGTCCGTCCGTCGTCCGTCCGTAAACTTTTACTGTAAATGACATCTCCTCATAAACCACTTAGCCAATTTCATCCGAACTTCACAGGAATGTTCCTTTTGTGGTCACCTTTAAAATTGTTCAAAGAATTTAATTCCATGCAGAACTCTGGTTGCCATGGCAACCGAAAGAATTTTTTTTAAATATCATCTTTTAAAAAGCCCAAAGAGCTGAAGCTTAGATATTTGCCATGAAACATCTTCTAGTGAGTGTCTACCAATTTTGTTCAAATAAAAGCCCTGGGGTCAAAATTGGCCCCGCCCCAGGAGGTCATTGATTTTCCCTAAATGCATATAGTAAAAACTTAAAAAGCCTTCATTTAAAGAACTCAAAGAGCTAGCGCTAAGATATTTAGCATGAAACATGTTCTAATACAAATTTTGTTCAAATAAAAGCCATGGGGTCAAAACTGGCCCCGCCCCAGGGGTGTCATTGTTTTTAACTATATGTGTATAGTAAAAATTTAAAAAATCATCTTTTAAAAAACCCATTGAGCTAGAGCTTAGATGTTTAGCATGAAACATCTTCTTATGGGTGTCTACCAAGTTTGTTCAAATTAAAGCCCTGGGGTCAAAATTGGCCCCGCCCCAGGGGGTCATTGATTTTCCCTATATTCAATTCAATATATTTATTGCATAAAACATGTGACATATTTATAGCAAACAAAATATATAGAATAAAAGCCCTGGGGTCAAAATTGGCCCCGCCCCAGGAGGTCATTGATTTTCCCTATATGCATATAGTAAAAACTTAAAAAGCCTTCTTTTAAAGAACTCAAAGAGCTAGAGCTAAGATATTTAGCATGAAACATGTTCTAATGGGTGTCTACCAAGTTTGTTAAAATAAAAGCCCTGGGGTCAAAATTGGCCCCGCCCCGGGGGTCATTGATTTTCCTTACATGTGTATATCAAAAACTTAAAAAATCTTCTTTGAAAAAACCCAAATAGCTAGGGTTTAGATATTAAGCATTAAACATCTTCTAGTGTGTGTCTACAAAGTTTGTTCAAATAAAAGCCCTGGGGTCAAAATTGGCCCCGTCCCGGGGGTCATTGATTTTCCTTATATGTGTATAGCAAAAACTTAAAATCTTCTTTGAAAAAACCCAAATAGCTAGAGTTTAGATATTAAGCATGAAACATTTTCCAGTAAGTGTCTACAAATTTTGTTCAAATAAAAGCCCTGGGGTCAAAACTGGTCTCGCCCCAGGGGTGTCATTGTTTTTAACTATATGTGTATAGTAAAAACTTAAAAAATCTTCTTTTAAAAAACCCATTGAGCTAGAGCTTAGATGTTTAGCATGAAACATCTTCTTATGGGTGTCTACCAAGTTTGTTCAAATTAAAGCCCTGGGGTCAAAATTGGCCCCGCCCCAGGGGGTCATTGATTTTCCCTATATGCATATAGTAAAAACTTAAAAAGCCTTCTTTGAAAAAACCCAAATAGCTAGGGTTTAGATATTAAGCATGAAACATCTTCTAGTGTGTGTTTACAAAGTTTGTTCAAATAAAAGCCCTGGGGTCAAAATTGGCCCCGTCCCGGGGGTCATTGATTTTCCTTATATGTGTATAGCAAAAACTTAAAATCTTTTTTGTAAAAACCCAAATAGCTAGAGTTTAGATATTAAGCATGAAACATCTTCTAGTAAGTGTCTACAAATTTTGTTCAATTAAAATCCCTGGGGTCAAAACTGGCCCCGCCCCAGGGGTGTCATTGTTTTTAACAAAAATCTAAAATGTTCTTTTAGAAAAACCATTGAGCTAGAGCTTAGATGTTTAGCATGGAACATCTTCTTATGGGTGTCTACCAAGTTTGTTCAAATAAAAACCCTTGGGTTAAAATTGGCCCTGCCGGGGGTGGAAAAAGGAAGTCATTGTTTTTCATAATATGTGTGTAGTAAAAACTTAACATCTTCTAATGGGTGTTCCAAGTTT